CCCATATAACCACAAAATTTTATTATAATACCCTACTTTCGAACTCTAAGTAAACATTTTCAAACAAAAAATTTTTGATCAATATCCATGCTTTTTAATATTATATAATATCTTCCTAAATCGCAACCTAACTCACCGCAACTGCATCCTGTACAACGCGAACCTTGTTTGAGTATAAAACATGTAAAAATTATATTTCAGGTGATTTCTGATCGTTCCGAATCTCATTATGCATACGTACAAAATTTATGCAATTAGATATATTACTATACTGTTATTAATGTTAATTTTGTTGAGGGTCGCAATCATCTGTCTGTTCTTTTTTCTGCCACCACTTTTCTACTTAATATTTACGCATGGGAGCTATTTTGAATGCTTTTAGGAAACAAAATTTTCTAAATAATACTTACGTCCACTGTCGATATATCACATATGGTATATAATTTATTTAATGAAAATATTTAACATCAATTAATATTTTATTATTAACATCAATTAATTTTTTATTTATTTCAGTGAAAATATTTATAATATATCTCATTTATTTCAAAAGAAAAAAAAAACTATAATGATAACAATTAAAAATATTTATATTTGCTCATTTGTATAATTTTACTTATTTGCTCACTTGTATATAATTTGCTCATTTGTATATAATTTCACTCATTTGTAGGAGGTTGAAAATTTAAACCTTTTTCAATTCTCTCATTCTGTATTGTAATTAAAACTTCAACGACTTTATCAATATTTCCCGAATATTTTTTCAAAAGTTCAATATTTTTTTCATCATCTTCCCAAAAGCCCATCGAATGAAGAATTCTTAGTTTTTCACTCAAATTTTCATCATCAAGAGTTTGATCATTCTGTTGTCTTTGATCCATAAAAGGACAATTTGAAGCATTAAAAACACCTTGACCTACTCTTCGTAGCCATGGATCGACATTTTGAAAAAATTGTTGTTGTTGTTGCTGTTGAAATTGATTTAAATGAGATTTAAACCATCGATCCCACATATCAATATCGACAGGAATATTTTGTAAAATTTGATCCATAATATTATTGGCATGTTCAACGAGTTGAGGATTTTTATCCAATACAGGTCGTACCTGTTCAAGCAAATTTTGAAATCGTTGAGCTAAATCGATGAAGGGAGCTTTGGTTTGTTCCTCATTCAACTTATTTGATTGTTGCTGGTCAGTTGAACTAGCTTCATTAGATTCGAAAGGAGTATCTTCCTCAACGGCTCTCTGCTTACCTTTTGAGGTTGAAGAAGTAATTGAAACAAAAATTGAATCCTCAGATTCATCTTCATCTATTACCATTGTGTGTCGAGATGATGGTTCAGAATCAATAATAGAAGTTTGGGAACTAATGTTAACATTATTGGATTGTTGAGGTTGTTGAGGTTGTTGAGGCTGTTGAGGTTGTTGAGGTTGTTGAGGTTGTTGAGATTGTTGAGAATAACGAGGAATGATAATGAATCTCAAAGGAGTATTTGATTGATGATTAGATAAAAGATCAAGAATTTCCAGGTCAGTCGACAAGGTAATAACA